AGTTGATTCTTTTTTATCTCTTTCTCTCCCCTACTTTCTCTCCTGGTCCAGATTAATATGGCCTGGAGGGCCAGGTCCCAGGGGTTAGGTCCCACCAAGAACGCTGGGGTGGTGGGCACATCAGTCCATGATGTATGTGTCCTCTGGACATTAGCCTCTGGAGGGCCAGGTCCCAGGGGGTGGGTCCCTCCAAGAACGCTGGGGTGGTGGGCACATCAGTCCATGATGTATGTGTCCTCTGGACATTAGCCACACCATCCTGGTGTAAATGTAAAAACCATCGGACGCCCAGTATCTGCTTCCCCCAGACACTCTGCAAGAACTAGGAACTTCGTTGAGCTCCTCAAATTTGGATTAGTTGCTTGTTCCAATTTGGTTGAAGTGTTCTTTATGAGATGATTTTGGAAGACAGATGACAGACTCTAAGTGACCTCAGCTCCTTATCAAAGACTGTAACTGGGATGCCAGGGATAGCAGGGCCCACAGGTGTGCTTTACCTGACGAGTTGTGTTTTCTACGATTGCTTACTTAGAATCCGTTCTCCCTTTAGATGGGCGTGAGCTTTCCATTTTGCTGCAATCCCACCAACCTGATAGGCTGCTTTGAATACCCATGTGGCCTTACAGGCTTGGGAGTTTGTGAGCTTGATCTAGGTGTGAGAGAGCCCAACTCCCATCGCATCAGCAGGATCCACGTCTGAAGGGCACGGCTTCCGTGATGCACTTGGACAGATTTGTAATTTGACCGAGATGTGTGTGGATGGGTGGGTGCCTGCTCCAAATCTTCTGCTTCTTTTATAAATCACATACATACATGGCCAACGCTTGTGGTAACAGAGGCCTAGGATATCATATTTATAAAGTAATTTCTTCTTTGCAATTTTGCTTCCCATTCTCACCTTGTGCACACCCCATAGTACAGCCACACTGACATTCTCACCCTTTGATGAATACTCCACTGACACCCAAAGTGGGGAATGTCCTTTCCAAACCCATCCCTTTGTTCTGCTCCTGCTTATTACTCAAGAGACAAATCACATGTCCTCTCATCCAAGTACCTTTTCTGAGTTTCTCAGCCAGCACTGTCCATGCTACAATCCGAGTAAATACCGCACTGTGACTGGTTCTCTCTGTCTCTTTGTCTGTCCGACCCTCCTCCCCAACCCTCCCATGCTGTGAGCTGCTGCTGGAGACAATGACTCTTCCCCTTCATTTCCCTGGCATCTGTCTCTGCCTCAGTCACTGGTGCAAGTGCAGGATATTTGAGAACATGGGGGTGCTCCTAACCCAGAGGCCCACAGCGTGGTCAGAAAAAGTTCTGTGCCAATGACATGTTGAAGGACAGTGAAGAGAGAGCCAGGCCAGCAAGAAAGTGTCTGTTCTGGGATAGGGAAGAGCACATGCAAAGGCTAGGGTGGGGGTGAGCACAGCCTTCAGGGAAAAGCTGGGGGTCACGGAGCAGAGACACAACATTTGGGCTCTTGGGTGCCATGTAGACAGGCTCGTTCTTCTACCTGCCAGATTCTCCCCCACCCCAGCTCACGGGTCAGTCCAAGACTGTGCACAGAGCCTGAACTCTCAGAGCACAGATCCGGGGGGCTGGGAAGCCTGGTGACCCAGCACTGACCTTGCACTTGAGAGCTCCTTAGAGACCCACCCACTTCTGGTACTGCTGATCTGAGAAGCTCCTGAGTCTGAACCACCTTCTACCAGATCACAGGGTTACCCTTTGACTTTTGTACCCATTCCAAGCTCTAGTCCCAGGCCTGGCCTGATCCAAATCAATATCCCAACACTACTCTAGGCCCTGAACCCCAGCTTGGGAGTGAGGGCTCTGCTGCCTCAGTAGGTCTCACTCTGCAGATAGCCTGCCTGCCAGGGTGCATCACAGCCTGGCCCTGACTTCCTGGGGTCCTGTGAGTGGACACGGCTATGTCCAGGCTCACAGCCTGACCATCCAGGTAGACTGCAGCTGTTAGCTGAGCTCACCCACCCGCAAAAGTGGAATTCACCATACAGTGTCCTTACTCCACTTGGGGCCATGACTGACCTTGCCCTAAAACCAATAGTACTCTCACACATGCTCTTTTTTCCTTCCCACCAGTGTAAGTGTGCATTCAGACATGGGCGCAGGCTGGTGATCTCTGCAGAATTTTGGCTCTGTGGATTCTGACCCATTGCTGAGGCTGGTAGAGACCCTTCTCCTCCCTACTCTGTCCTTCAGCGGTTAACTCCTTCCTCCAGCTCTATACTGGCTGCAGTCTGGGTGCCACTCAGGTCCCTGCTAAAGTGAAGAACTAGCAGAAGAAAGGGCCAGTCTTCTGATTCCTAAGTAGATATTAACATATAATTCAATATCAACTTTCTGTTATTAAATTATCAATAATATAATGTCAGTTGAAAATACACCTAAATTGTATTACCTTCCATTTAATACTTCCAAAATATTATATACCATGATCCAGACTCCTAGAAACGTGAACTGTCAAAGCTGGAAGAGAAGGGTGGGGCGTATGGTGAGGCCAGCATCCGAGGGCAGGCACTGTATGAAG